GTGAAAATGGATGCATGCGTTCAGTACCATCCATCTGTTTTATAATGTCAACTACAGTTTGTATTTTTAAAACGTACCTCAGGAATCGTTGTGTTCAAGGCTCGGCGTGTCGTTTCCCAACTAGTGGGCACGGCTAGCTGAACGTTAGCTGGGCTAACGCTAAAGCACTACTCATAGACATCAGTTCTGCTAATGCTAAAACGCTAACCAAAATGGTATTTAGCAGAAGCTAATGCTAAAGCTCTTAATGTTTGTACAGAACAAATGGTGTTTGTCTCATTACTTCCTGGTTGAGTTTTTCTTTTCCTCATTGGTCGGTTAAATACTTTCCACTTCCTCAATAAAGGAAGAAAGCAGCTGCTATGTAAACGGATTTCAAAATAAGAGCATGGAAATGAACATATTCATAAATTTATAAATATAAACAGTGGTTAACTGAAAGCTACAAAGCAGCCAAATAAATTAGCGCCTTAGCATTTTTATGTGTCTGTCTATGAAGAAATATGAGAAAACAAAGTTTTCTAATGTTTGTTTGCAGAAAAATAAAATCAGCCTTTTTTTAAAAAAAAAATCCGGACTTTTAATGTTTTTTACTGAATTAGAGTAAAACATTTTCAGCTGACATAAAAACAGGGATTCGGATTTTCAAAATGAAAACTTTAAAATACCTTCATTCATTGCTGGTTCATTTGACCAGAACAGGGTTAAATTATCCTGCATGTATAAACTGATATTTTTACTCCAAGCTGTCGTCAAACACAGCTGCGAATGTGAAAATAACATCCATAAATCAGAAATGTGAGGTGAAGACCTCGGCTCTAAATACTGACTTTATTTCTGTGATATGAGAAAAACACAAAGTCTGAAAACTCGGTGGGAAACGCTGTAAGTATGGAGTTAAATATGGGCCATAAAGTTTGTTCAATAGAAAAATTATTTGAAGCTTAGAAACTGTTTCTATTTTACTTTGAAAAAAAAAGTTCTGCAAATCAAAAATAAAAACTTTAATCTGAAAATCAGTTTGCACAGCTTCAGTTATTACAACTAAAACCTAGCGATCAGCCTGAAACCTGGGAGTAGTGATGGACTCGGACTTGAACCTCCAGAGCCACATAAAGACAGTAACAAAATCGGCCTTCTATCACCTGAAGAACATCTCCAGGATAGAGGACTAATGTCTCAGCCAGATCTAGAGAAACTCATTCATGCATTTGTCTTTAGTCACATTGATTATTGTAACAGCATCTTCTCAGGCCTGTCCAACAAATCAATCATCCAGCTGCAGCTGATCCAGAAGCTGCTGCTCCTGTTCTCACTAAAACCAGGAAGATAGAGACATAACAGCAGTTTTAAAGTCCCTCCACTGGCTCCCTGTAGCTCACAGAATAAATTTTAAAATACTGTTATTAGTTTACAAATCACTGAACGGTTTAGCACCACAATACATCAAAGATCTGCTGTTGTTGTATCAACCTTCCAGACTCTCAGGTTCTGGTTCTGGTTCTGCTCTGCATCCAGAACCAGAACCAAGAGAGGAGAAACAGCTTTCAGCATCTATGCACCAAAACTTTGGAACAAACTTCCAGAAAACTGTAAAACAGCAGAAACCCTGACTTCCTTTAAATCTCAAGTAAAAACGCACCTGTTTAGAATTGCATTTGAAATGTAATATGTATGGATTTGATTTTGTGGATATGTATGTAATTTTTTTTGTTTTTTTTTTTTTTTTTCCTGTTGTGGGCAACGGGGCCCGGCGAATACCCGTGGTTAAACGGACGGCAGAGTCCGGCGGTAACAGGCGCTTAAATTCCGTGTCAAAGGGAAGGAAGAGGGAAAAAAAAAACAAAAAAACACTTGATATTTTATTCTATGTTGCATGCCTTTGTGTTTTGTGTTTATGATGTAAAGCACTTTGAAATGCCTTGTAGCTGAAATGTGCTATACAAATAAAATTTGATTGATTGATTGATTTGAAGATTTTTTTTTTTGTTGAAAAAACGTTTTGGCCCCAAATTACCTCCGTATGGAAGCAGCCCGGCTGCCGACAGGCTGCAACACCTGATCAATAGCAATAAATGAGATTATTTCCAGAGGAAATGTTTGTGGATGAACCGCTGGATGAAAGGAAACCGTCCGAAAAGCAGATTTCATGTTTTACCTGCGATCCGAGCCGCCAGCAGCAGGACGACGAGGCGCGGCGCCGGATTCATAGCTCTGGAAAACAAAAAATAACAACATCAATCACTACATCAATCACTACATCAATAACTACGGTTTCAGAAAGAGTTAAACTTCCCATTAATATAAAAACCATATTCAACATTTTTTAATGAATTTGGTTTTATTCTCTTTTCTTCAGCTGAATAAACTCATCTAAACAAATAATCATAAAATATTTATCTACTTTTAAATATCTCCAACCTGTGAAATGATAATAAAACTGAATCCAGTCGCTGAGGAGGAAACGGTCGGAGCTGCTGTGCGGCCGTCGGCGCTCTGGCCTCCAGACGCTTCCTTCTTCTTCTCTTATGGAAATGAAACATTTGGCAGTCAAAGTCAGCGGCTGATTTGGAAGACGTTTGCATGAGAAGATGAGGTCAGAGGTCACGTGACAGCGCCTGAAGACGTTCCTTCCTTGTGAAACAGCAGAACATCTTCAGCTTTTAAAATCTTGGGATGAAACTCCAATTTTTTCTGGAATTTGCTGCGATTCTCTGGAACAATATTGAAAATATTTTCAACATCCGTCTGGAGGAAAATGTCCGACTTCCATCTGAAGCGTTTTGATTATTTTCAGAGTAAATGCAGCGTTAGAGAAATCGTTCCAATATTATTGTAAAAGTAAACAAAATGTTCAAAAGAAAAAAATTAAAATAGATTTTTTGATTTTATGATTTAAATTCTTCAAATTGAATTTTTCAATTAAATTCTTTTCTAGTTTTGTTTTTTCTAATTATCCTTAAACAAGTTTTATTTAAATTAAGAATTAAATTTGAAATTATTTTAAACATTGTTTTTGATAGAACTGACCCCATATTTCTACCGCTCAGTTTTAGGAAAGACTCAAAAAAAAAAAAAAACTGAACATAATCTGAAAAAAATAATCTGAAAAACATCTATTGGAAGTGTGTGACCTCTGACCTCTGCAGGGCCAGCCTGAGAGGAACCTGTGATGTAGGTAGAATAGATGTGACAGGGAATCAAAGCTGTTTGAGTTCTTCCTCTCATTAAACCTGAAAATGATTAATCCAGATTATAATCTCTGATGAAGGTTTGGTCCCTGCTGGAGTTCTTCTTCTGTGGTTTCTGTGGAGCCGCAGGAAGCCGAGCGGCTGAAACCAGCAGCTGCTTTGAGAGTCAAATCAGCAGCTGCTGGTTCCTCAGGCCGCCACCAGGGGGCAGAACGAGCACATTGACATCCATGGGGGCAAATTAACCAAAACAAATTTAAATCTGCTGCAAACGCATCATGAACACACCCAACCTGCCTTCTGTTAAAACCTTTAACCCTCTGTTGTCTCCTTTATGATATTATCATCATTATTATTATTATGATTAGTAATGTTTATACTCCCATTCTGCTAAAATGTAAAAGTCATTTTTAATGCAGTGCAGATTTTTTTTTAACAGACCAGGAAGAACTTTTTGAAACAAAAGTAAAACACAAAACTAAAAAATAGATTTAATTAAAATTAAATGATCAAAGATGCAATATTTATTTATCCACTGATGTATTTTACACAGCTAGTGACGGACATAAACAATAATAAAAATAATAATTACTGCAGAAAACTAAATATTTTGCTTTGGTTTTAGATAAACATTTAGCTATAAATTTGTAACTAAATAGTTCACTAATTTAAATCTATTGAATGATTTTAATGCAGCATTAAGATAAGAGTTATTAATAAAAGATGTTCTTTAATGTGTTTGTTGTTCTGCTCTTCCTCTGGGTTTGGTCCTCCAGCTCCGCCTCTCTTCTTCTTCTGTTGATAGTCTGACATCCTCCAGATGATTCATGGATTAACTGTCATCAATATCAACTTATTCATTTCCTCTTCACTTTTGTTCCCCTGAGGAGAAGAAAGTTTTTTGATCCTTTCGTTTTGTTCAAATCTTTATTTGTCCTCTGTATTATTGACGGGTGTTTTAATATCTTCATTTGAGTTGCTGTTACGCCTTCATGGCCTGTAGCATTTGATGGATGCTAACACTGTTATGTTGTCTAGATCAGGCTGGAGCTCATGCTATGTGCTAATGCTAATGTCTTCCTGCCCCCTGCACCGGGTCACCAGGTAACCCCAGCGCTGCTTCCTGATGCCTTCTGATTGGATGAAAACTCTGATGACCTCAGAGTTTTCATCCTCCTCAGGATTCTGGTTCTGATCCCAGAACCTCCCGGATCCAGAGACCAGCCGACCGGAAAAAATGGAATCAAGAAATAAAGTGAAAAATTATCTTATATTTTAAAAATATTGAAAACAACAAAAAAGTTCAGAGCAGCGTTTTATTTCTCAGTTTCCAACATCCGAACCTGGTTCTGGTTCTGGTACTGGTTCTGGTCCTGGTTCTGGTTCTGGTTCTGGTTCTGGTGCTGGATCTCCCAGCATGCATAGCTGCGACCCGGGCCAAGCTGGTTCTGACCCACCTGGGCCGGCTGCTGATGCTTGGCCTCCCGGTTGACCTTTGACCTGCCAGTCACAGCGGTCGGTGTGGCGCTGGCCAGCAGGCGGCGCCACAGACTGCCAGGAATCTGACCGGATCTGGACCTGAGAGTCAGAACCTCCTGAGGAGGGAAGAGTCAAATATGTTAAGAAATGTTTCATTTAATGTTCAGGACGATTAAAAATCTGATATTTATAAAATAAACGGGAGCAGATTTACTCTTCCTGTTTACCTGATTCGACATGAATTAGTTTAAAATAAAACATTTATTTCATGAAAACAGAGAGAAAATAAAAAAAAACATTTATTCAGGATAAACTTCATTCTGACTGGAAAACAGACTATGATAAAAGAAAATGAAAATATGATTTAAAAAAATATGTTTTATCATATCTTATAGTAAAATTTGAAATAATTACTGGAAATAAAATGTGTCATGTAAGATATTTCTTAAATGTCCATTTGTTTCTGCAGTTGCATCATGGGAAATGTAGTTGCTTGATGTAACGTGAATAAATATTTCTGCCGCTCTTCATTTTGTTTAATTTTGTTTCAGTGATCAGATCCAGAACTCAGAAAGTCATGAAATCACGTTTTCATGAGGAAACGGTTTTAAATTATTCTTTAACATGTTTTTAATTAAAATAAATGTTTATATTCTGCAACATTTTCAGAATGTTTCTGTTTGAATCTCCACCCAGAAACCTGATCTGGAACAATCCAGTGTTTTGCTCTGGATTGTGCAGCTGGCTGCCATGACCCAAAGCTGAGCAGATGGAGTTATGAAGCTCCCCGCAGGTCAAAGGTCATCTGAGGCGATCATTCAGAGCAGCTTCTCCTGCACTTTGACGTCTCCAACAGAGGAATAAATCAGAGGAAATGTTGATGCTTCTCCTTTCTGGTTCCCTGGAATCCGTGACGAGCGTCTGATGCCAGGAGGTTCTGCTGCCCACAGCACCACCCGTCCTGAAACCGACCGGACCGGTGAGCGGAACCGCCTGCTGGTCCAGGGAAACCTTAAACATCCAGAACCGAACGAGGCACCAATAAAATTTGTTGGAAATAAAATAAAACAAATCAAGATGGTCATCAAGGAAAGTTTAGTTTCGACTCAGTTAATAATCCTGGTGTGGAATCGTACATTACTGGACCCACAGGAACCATTACTGGAAATGTTTTCAACATAATGCATCATTTTGGACTAAAATCGTCTTATCACCAATCATAGCCTACATGATTGGAGAACCATAGTAATCAGATACATATTTTCCTGACTTTGTGTGACTTTTTCTGGAGGACATTTTTAAAATGGCCGTCATGGTTGTAATGAAGCATATATGTTTGCAGTAGAATCAGCTAAGCAGTTAGCCGAAGCTAACGCTAATGTTTAGACATTGATCTCTCTTCCTCTGCTGCTCTGAGACTCGCTAACGTTCAGAAATGATCACTTTAGCTTTGGACACATGATGTGGCTTAAAGTTCATGAGTCATGAAAACAGGCAGCATGAATGGCAGCCATCTGGGACAATGCTGGATGGAGAACCTGTTTGGATCCAATAGGTTCTGAAGGCTTAACTGGGTTAGAACCATCACCACGTCGAACTAATCCTGGGAAAATCCTCAGAGTTAAACTGGGATTATGGAAAAACTGGGAAAGAGTTCAGAAAGATAACTGGGTCAGGGTAAGTTCAGCTTCCTGTGACCAAGTTAGACCGGTTGTGATGGTTCTGATGGGAGTCCACACCGGACCGGGTTGATTCTGCTCTGAGGTGACTCTGGTTCATCGTGAGAAGAGTTGTGGAAACTTTATTGTTCCATTGTTGCTGAACACTGAGTCATCACTCGGAGGACAAGAACCAACCGGAGCCACAGGAGAAAGTTTCCTGTTTCCTGAAACATGGAGCCGTACAGTGACCCAAACATGATACGCAGCAGGAGTCAATGGCCTAGTCAAAGTCTGGTCCTCCACTGGATGCACTGTGCTGAAATGTTGAATGCAGATGTAACACACTTTATTTTGTGATATGAAATTGATTTTGTTGTTCTTTAACCACTTTTCTCTTTTCAAGATGTTTAAGATACTTCAAAACCGGGTCAGAACCTAGGAGAACCGGCCCAACTTCTGATTACTCTGTCCACATGTGACCAGGGAACGCTGAGAGAGCTAAGCGCTCTTCTCCTTCTACTTCTGTATTATCAGTGATCTTCTTCTTTACTAAAACCCAGTCTGGGAAAAATAAATTCTGAAATATAAACATTCATTGCATAGGGGGCGCTGTAGCGAAGGACAGGTTTTGTCTAATAAGTCATAAATCTCAAGCTCCAAAACTGAATATCACTTTAATCCTTCAGTGATTTTGCGTCACATGACATTTAGGCCCCGCCCATTTCTGCCCTTGCGGGGCAATAAAGGCTGCTTCTATTTACTGGTTTTAATGGAAGGAACCGGACCAGAGAAACACCTGGACTCACCTGGACACACCTGGACTCACTTAGACTCACTTGGACTCGCTGGACACACCTGGAGCAGTCCGGTTCTGGTCGTTTTCCCTCAGATGATAGAGCAAAGTGTGTCAGAACATTTTCCTCGTGATTTTTCTGAAAGGAAACCTGGAGAAAGCAGCAGGTCGGCCAGAGGGGAACAACAAGGACTTTGGTCATGAAATGATCAGAGGGATTAGAGCGGAGGGAATCAAAACGCTGAGGCCTCCCTCAGACAGAAGCGGGCCTTCTGGGTCCCATTTGTTCTCTGGGTTCCTGGAGAGTGGTGACATCCCAGGCTGGGATCATTAAAAATGGCTCCTGGACACCAAACAACTGTGATGGAATGGAGAC